CCAGCCCCACAGGTAACCGACCCCTCGGCAGCCCCGCCCCTGCCCACCCACGGGGCTGCGCTGAGGCGGGGCGGGGTTTTGGGTTGAAAACATAAATTCAGGCTGTGGAAGGGTGCGGGGGCTGCTGGTTCCCCGGAGTCCTTCTGTCGGAGCTCCCGGTCTCGCCCTTCCGGCGTGTCCCGGTGCCCTCCCGCCGTGCGGGGTCACGGTCGGTGTACCGTGGCCGTGCTGGTCCTGGCGCGTGCCCGCTTGTCGCTTTGGGGACTCTGTTCCTGGCAATAGTCATCCATAAGTTATTTTCAGAGCCAGTGCCCTCGGAGCTGGGGGTGCCCCGGGATGCGGTGCCGCTCCTGCCTCGGTGCCGCTGCCGTCGCAGGCAGCATCCAGCGCCCTTCCAGCTCATGTTTAGAACTCTCACCTCGGTCTCCTTTTTGACCACCTCCTCTGATTTCCCCACGATTACAGGTTTTCTGCATTTAGGTGGCCTTAGGACTGCTTTGTACAATTATATCTTTGCCAAAAAACACCAAGGAACCTTTATTTTAAGAGTGGAGGATACAGATCAGAATCGGGTGGTGCCAGGAGCTGCAGAAGGAATAGAAGATATGTTGAACTGGGCAGGTATTTAGAAACATCTTTAATTTTTGACCTGCTGAATCCTTACGTTTCTTGTGAAGGCTGACCGGACTCAGCTGGAGGTGGATTAGACTGCCTTTGTGCGGGCTGGTAGGCAGCCCGGCTGCTCACTGCCACCGTGCCGGTGTTGCAGGTATTCCCCCGGACGAGAGCCCCGGGCGGGGCGGCCCCGCGGGGCCCTACGTGCAGTCGCAGCGGCTGGAGCTGTACGGGCAGGCGGGTGCGGCGCTGCTGGCCAGCGGGGCCGCCTACCGCTGCTTCTGCAGCCCGCAGCGCCTGCAGCTGCTCCGCAGGGACGCGCTGCGCCGCCAGCAGACCCCGCGGTACGTCCCTGACCCTGTGCCCTGACCCTGTGTCTCCTGCCCGTGCGGGGAGGAGGCTTGTGTCACCCTCCAGAGAGGAGGTGTCAGACTGGGTGTGCAGTGGGTGGGTTACAGCTGAAATTCAGGCGTCTGCTTAGGGTTTTGGGAATGTAAGAACAGCTGGTGGCGTTGGCCCGTGTTGAGCAGAAGCCCTGGCACCTGAGATGGTGCTCATCTCCCCAAGGTACGACAACCGGTGCCGGCACCTGACGGCCACGGAGGTGGCCCAGAAGCTGTCCCAGGGCCTGGACTGCGTCATCCGCTTCCGCCTGGAGAGGGGCGTGCAGCCCTTCCAGGACCTGGTCTACGGCTGGAACAAGCACGAGGTGGCAGAGGTGGAAGGTGACCCCGTGATTCTCAAGGGGGATGGCTTCCCCACGTACCACCTGGCCAACGTGGTCGATGACCACCACATGGGCATCACCCACGTCCTGCGCGGCACCGAGTGGCTGGCCTCCACTTCCAAGCACCTGCTTCTCTACAAGGCCTTGGGCTGGGAGCCGCCCCAGTTTGGCCACCTGCCGCTGCTGCTGAACAAGGACGGTGGCAAGCTGTCCAAGAGGCAGGGGGACATCTTCCTGGAGCGCTTTGCTCGGGATGGGTTCCTGCCAGAGGCGCTGCTGGACATCGTCACCAACTGCGGCTCGGGCTTCGCAGGTACTGCCACGGGCTCCTGCCTGCTCACCTCATGCCGACTTCATGGCATGGGCTGGGTTTGTTTTAATAGCTGAGAACCTTGTCAGTGTTTGAAGGGGTCGGGGAATGGGTGTCACATAACCAGCCAGTCACTGAGGTGCCACCAGGCCTTCTGCAGAGCTCCTGTGGAAGGAGCTGGGATGGTGCAAATCTTTTGCTGCTGTGCAGCCATTAAAATTGAATCAGGTGCTTAATGGGTTCTCCCTTGGGGAAACCCTCCCTTCAAGGCTGAGAAACTCTGTGAAATCTTGGGAAAGCTTGCATTCTGTGGTTAGTGATTGCAGTGTTGTCTGACACCTGTGCCACCTTTCCTTTAACCTGACAGACCACAAGAAGTTGAGTCAATGTCTCCTTTTGTGGTTCTTGCTGTGTGGGGATCACAAATTAACTTGTGCTCTGAGAGCTCTGCTTGGGAATAAAATCTTGCTTGGGCAGTGCTGACTCCTGGCTGAGTCTGACTTCTCTGGCCGACTGAGGCAGAGGGGTTCTGCTGAGGAAGGTGATGGAGCCAAGCAGAACATCCCAGTTCCAGTGCCTGTGCAGCAGAGCAGCTCCTGGGGAGAGGCAGCATGGCAGTGTGCCTGCTGCCACTTCTCTCCTGCCTGCCAGGGGACACCCCTGCTGCTGCTGGCGCTGCATAGGTGGCTGTCCTGTGTCACCTTTGCTCAGCGTGCTCCCAGCCCCGTGCCCGAGGAGAGCACGGAGCCCTGTGATTCCCTTTGGCTGTGTTGCAGAGAAGCAGATGGGGAGGACTCTGGAGGAGCTGATCTCCCAGTTTGAAGTAGGCAGAATTACAACCCATTCTGCGCTCCTGGACCTTGAAGCACTCCCAGAATTCAACAGGTAAAAAATTAGTGGTAGCTTTAAAATGTAGTAAGCACCATATCAATTGGAATTTATTTCTAGCACCTGATTTTGGCTGGAGGTTCTGTTTGTTGGATCAAGCATGGTCCTGGCGCAGCACCTGTTGGGCCGTGCTAAGAGGAACCATAAATTTCTGCTCAAACAGTTCCTGCCTCCTCTCCCATTCTGTGCTTGGTCTCTGGGGTTGGCAACACTGAAAGTCTAGACAGAGGGTGGGTGTAGCCGGGAGGATCTAAAATCTTAAGTTTATAACCTAAGAAAATAACATCTAAAAAGAGTTAACCCTTCCAGAAGGCTCTTGTTGCAAGTACACTTGTGCTCCTAGGACATTGTGCTGCTAAGGTGGCCTCATCATCAGTTCCCTGTGGGGCACCTGAGCTAAATGCTTCTTTGTAGAGTGTCTGACTCTGGTTTAGTGCTGCTTTTCTAACAGTTCCACAGTTTTAGCTCAGTTGGTCAGAGCATGGTGCTAAGAATGCCAAAGTCGTGGGTTCAGTCTCCAGATGGGCTGTTCCCTTGAGAGTTGGACTTGATGATCCTTGAGGGTCTCTTCCAACTCAGAATATTCTGTGATTTCTGTGAAACACGGTTGGGGTGATCCAACCCGAAGCAATGCAAAAGCAGGTCTTTGCTCTGCTGCAGGATTCACCTCACCCGTCACATTGAGAACCAAGGGCTGCGCCAGAAGCTCGTCAGGGAGCTGCAGGGGCTGGTGGAGCTCGTCTATGGGGATCAGCAAGTGGATCCAGATGTTCTGGAAAAGGAATATGTGGAGCGAGTCCTACTGCTGAGAAAAGTATGGGTAGCAGCAGGTTGCTGTGCCACCATCCTCCAGGCTGAGGAGTTGCTTCCTCCACAGCACAGCCCTCTGCTTTGCCAGCTTTGCTTTCCTCCCCCAGGGTCACATAAGCCTCCTGAAGAATCTGGTATCGAGTGATTACTCCTACCTGTGGGTCAGGCCCTTGGTGTCCCGGCAGCAGCTACAAACAATTTCTGCAGAAGTAGATAAAATAGGAAAACTGGTCTTAGGGTAAGTGTGCTGCTGCCTGAGCTGAGTAGTGGCAGAAATGGCTCCTCATCTCTGAAAACAGTCAGAATTACTGCTTTTTCTGTGGTTTTCCAGGTCTGTGGCATAATTTTGTAGTTTAAACTTGCTCTTTTGAATGAGCTCTGCTGCTGGTGAGCAGAGGAGCGCCCTGGCACAGGGCAGGGGTGAGAGGTAGGAGCCCTGTGGGTTTCCATGTCCCCAGAGTGTAAGGGTCACTTTCTTTCCCAAAGGCTCCTGACCAGGCCAGCAGCTGCCTTGACTGTGGAGGAGTTGAACAGAGAGCTGAGAAAGGTGCAGGAGCAAACCAGAGAGACCAAGTACAGCAGCATGATGCAGCTCCTGCGGCTGGCGCTCAGCGGGCAGCAGGTAAAACGAGCAGTTCTGAGATGATGTGCAGTGTGCTTTCACAGAGCTCAAACCCACGTTTTACAGGAGCTCTCCAGAGCCTAGTCCTGGCTCAGCTCTGGTGCTAACCCTTCAGGTGCCTCTGAGCAGGGCTGGCATCAGTCTGTGATGCACAGGCACGTGCTGGGCAGGTCAGCCCTGTGCTCAGTGACTCTCTGTGTTGCAGCACGGCCCCAGCGTGGCGGAGATGATGGTGACCCTGGGAGCTGAGGAGGCGTGTGGCCGCATACACAGAGCCCTGTCCAGCTGACAGGGACGTCAGTGACACTGCCAGGCCGTGTGCTGGGATGGTGCAGGTGGCACCTGCGTGATCATCTCGAGCAGACGAGCTGGGCTTCGGGCCAGGCAGGTGTCTGGGCTGTCCCACGTCTGTAGGAACCTGCACTGAGCATGAGCCACTTCATCTGGGAGAGGAACCAAGTCCAGATTTAACTCTGTCCTGCCATCGCCTGTGCAAGGAGCCTGCTTTGCAGGGGGGAGAAGAAGACAAGTATCAGCATTTAAATTCAGAGCAATTGGACAGAAAGTAACTGAACTTCTGAAAGCAGCAGATCAGATTCTTTTTGGAGAGGGCCTACAGCTACACAACACGGTTCCCCAATAAATACAGTGGCGGGTATTTATATACATATAGATGTGTATTATAGCTGCCCTAGTGTCCCACCAGCCTGAGTGAACTGCTCAGAGGGGGTTTCCTGTGTACTGTGTCATGCACGTGGTTCTGCTAAAAACAGCCCTGATCAGGAGATTGAGCTGTTTTATCCTCTTTTGTCTGATGCCCTTCTAATTATTAAATCAATGTGGTGACTTCAATTCTGTTCTCACGGTTACTGTGCAGCGGGTGAGGGGAGGAGCTCAGGGCTTGTGCTGAGCTCACAGCCACACGAGCGCTTCCACAGCAGCCACACGAGCCCCTCCACCCCAGCAGCCTCACGTGGGCTGCCCTCGGCCGCCCGGAGCCGCTTCCTGCCCGGCACAGGGACGGAGCCATGGCTGGCAGCGGGCAGCTGGAGCGCTGGCTCAGTGAGTGGGGCTGGGGCTGGGGGCCGGGGCTGGCTCTGCTGCCTCCTCCAGCCTGGGTGGGCACTGCAGCAGCTTCACCTCCCTGGGGAAGGGGCTGCTGTCCCATGGAACCCTGGTAGAATGATGTGGGTGCTGGCTTGCTGTATCTGGCTTCTTCCCCATCTGTCCTGCCCCCAAAGCTGGCTCAGTGACAGACTGGGGAGTGGTAGAGCCAAAAAAGACTTTTTTTTCCTGAATTTAGCTGTGCTAATGTGTAAACTGCCCGTGTTCCAGCACAGGTTTTGTAGTGGTCCTGGGAGAGCTGCCTGTAAATGGTTTTTAAGTTTCTCCTGCTAAAAGCAACATCTGCTGTTGTCAGGCTGTGATTGACTTCAAGTGTGTGCTTGGGACTATATTTTTAGGCAGACTTTAGTAACAGCTGTTTCCTGCTCGTCCTGGATCTGCCCTTTCTGCTACAGAAAGCTCTGGAGCAGCAGCACCAGCGAGGTCTGAGCTGCTTCCTGCTCTGGGCTCACACTGAGCCTGGAGTTTACTTCTTCCTCCCTTGTTTTTCTCCCTCTGTAAGATGAGGCCACTGACCCGAGTGTCTCTGAGGAAAACTGGGAATGCATCCAGCGGTTCTGTGAGCAGGTGAACGCTGACACGGAGGGGTAAGGCAGACACAGAGCTCTTTGTGCTCACCCGGGCTGTGTCTGGCTCTGAGCTCCCCTTGTGGATCTGCAGGAGCAGGGGCTGGGGCTGTGGTGTGGGGAGCTGCACAGGGAGCTGAGGGGGCTCGCTGGGCTCTGCCCCTCCTGGGAGCAGAAATGAGTTGGAAATGCGAGTTGGAAATAGGTGTGTGCCAGTGTGGTGGAGGGTGATGTCAGGGAATGGGCTCTGGCGTCAATGCTGGAGCCCACGGGGCAGCAGGTCCTGCTGGCCATGCCCTTAGGAGTCTGGCCAAGGATTCCTGCTGTGGGGTTCTGCAGGGGAGCCCCAAGGCAGCTCAGCCTCAGCTTTTCCTTCCAGAGGGGTGGAGAACCTCTGCTGAGGTTTCCTCACCTTCCAGCTGACAGTCTGGGCTCTGTGGGAAGTAGCAGGGACTAATTAAGCTAATAAGCAGTCAAACCTTAGTAATCATTTCTGTGTTTGGAGCAGACCGAGTTCAGAGCTCTGGCCTGGCACCCAGCACAGGCTGCCCTGGCTGTCACTGGGGCTCCTGCAGCTGCAGAGCCAGCTCTGGTGGGGCCTGCCCAGGGACACCCCCGGCCTGTGCCTCTGCTCCCTCCCAAAGGGCAGCCCCTGGGCAGGGCTGGGAGGCAGCGCTGGGGTCACCAGCTCACCCCGTGTGTGTGCAGTGTCCCTGCCAGCACTGTGCCTGGAGAAGGGGGTCTGTCCTGCTGTGAGCCCAGCAGCATTTGCTTTTCCTGGGAACTCGTGCATGGTCTGACTTGCTTTGCTCTTCCCCAGCCCGTGGTTTGCTCTGAGGCTGCTGGCACACAAAATCCAGTCCCCTCAGGAGGGAGAAGCTCTGCATGCCCTCACAGTGAGTACTTCCATCCACACACAAGGCAGTCACTGGGAAACAGAGTTGGCAGGTGGAAAGCAGAGCAGACAGGATAGCTCTCTCTTCCTTTTCTCTCAGATGTCCATGTCTTTCTCTCTCTTGGATGCCTCTCCATTTAACTTTCCCTTGCACAAGGAATACAGGAACCAGGGCACAGTGGAGGCAGTGACTGCTTCTGTTGCTCCCCACGCTGCTCTGCTGAGGTGTTTTGTTGGTCTGCAGCTCTGGCTGTGTGAGCTGTGTCCCACCACTGAGGCAATAGCTCAAAAGTTGTTACTGATGGGTAGAACAGAGCAGGTGGCCTTAAATGTGCTGCCTAGGAAAGCTGGATGAAGGAATAAAACATATTCTTGCTGCCTGGCTTTCTCAGTATCTTGTGTTGGTGACTGCAGTGGCAGAAAGTTCTTAGATTTAGTAATATAATGACAAAATTTTTGAAAGCTCCCCAAGCCTTGTGTTTTCAGTTCCTGTTGGTAACATTTTGTTTTCTGCAGGTGCTGGAGACTTGTGTGAACAACTGTGGTGACAGATTTCACAGTGAAATGGCAAAATTCAGGTTTCTGAACGAGCTGATTAAAGTGCTTTCCCCAAAGGTAGGTGATGGTGGTTACAGGGTGTTTGGGATAAGGAATGCACTCTGCTTTATTGGAGGCAGTGGGATCTTCTGGCTGTGCTCCTCTTCCTGGGGGTGGGCTGGGCCTGCCTGAGACGCCCTCTGAGCATCACACCATCAATTTCCCTTTCTGGTGGCTCCTGCACGCATTTACCACTGGGGCACGTTTCATTTTCCATTGCATCAGCCCGAGGGCAGAGCTGCAAAAAGCTGATTTCAAAGAAATGCTCAACTCAAGAACAAAACTCCTTGTCTCAGTCTCAGGCTTGATAACAGAATTTCAGTGAAGCCACAGACTCTGAAGCACATATCACTGAAGACAATTCTGTTTACTGCTCTGAGAGGACAGCTATCATTTAATCAGTTTGAAATGCCTGGCCTTGGGGAGGTTTGTGTTTTTATAGTTAAAGGAGTGGTCATAGGCAATAATGAGAGAAATGGGAGAAAGCACCCAGATGCTGATAAGAGACAATAATGTTTGTTTCTGGTTTTGTTCGGTTTTCCTGTGTCAGGAGCTGGCTGAGGCCGGTGCTATGACTGTATTGCAGCAGTTAAGGGGAGTGTTTAAAGTCAAGCACAGAATGTTTTCACTAAAATAACCTGCTTTGGGTTTTGGATTCAATAACTGATCAGAGAAGTTCGAAGTGGTTTAATTTTGACTGTTGTAGAATATATGTGTGATTCTCATACACTCCATAGCAGTTGTTGTGTTTCCTAACCCCAGGAAACACATTGTCAGCACTGTGAATAAACTCACAGGAATCCATTTTATCCTTGGTGTCTGCACAAAAATACCTTGGGGCTGGGTCTCTGTGCCAGATCTGGCACCAATTCTTTGTGTTTGAGCTTTTTGTCTTTCTTTACTGTCTTGTTTTCAGTACTATGGAATTTGGTCTTCAGAAAAAGTCAAGTCAAGGGTCACAGAAGTGATATTCAGTTGGACAGTCTGGTTTCCTCAGGAAGTCAAAATTCAGGATGCTTATCAGATGCTGAAGAAACAAGGTTCAGTTCTGTTATTTCAGTTTCCTTTTTAGCCTCCCGAGCCCCTGGTTTCCCCACAGATATCTGCCCCCCTCAGCTTGTGACTCAGCTTTTTCCTAACATGCTGTGTGGAAGGAGAAGGGCCAAAGGTCCGAGGCTGGCTGGGTTCTGAAGGATGCATGGAACTGTTTAAAGGGATTTTCCAAAGAATAGCCTTCCTGAGCCAGTCTGGAGGCCCCTGCTCACACTGTGGGCAGGGAAAAAGCACAGGACAGGCTCAGAAGTGATCTTTGCCCTGGAATATCTCCCAGGGTTATGAGAGATGAGTTCAGAGGGATCCCAGGATGGATTTTTCCATCCACTCCATTATATTTAGTAGTCCTCAGTGGTATTTTAATCTGGAAATCTGTGCAAAACCTCAGGCACTGTTGAGCATCGAGGTTTCAGCAGCTTGGGCATCGCTGAACAACTACTGTTACCTGTTCCAGGGATTGTAAAAGAAGATCCCAAACTGCCAGAAGACAAAATTTTACCTCCTCCTTCTCCAAGACCTCAGAATTCTATTTTTGACACAGATGAAGAGAAGTCCAAGGTAAACCTCAGAGTCTTCATGCCCCACCCTCTGTTTTGTCCTGATGAGAAAAGAGGCTCAGTAATATTTTGGGAGCTTCTGCTGTTTCAGACAATCTCAGAATAATGCTGATCCCTCCTGCAGTGCAACAGCTAGAGAACTCTCTGAAACTTTGTCAGAAATATTGCCTTAGAAAAAAGTGAAACTCTTTTACAGAAGAACATCAGTTTCCATGAAATCTCCCCAAGGAGGGAGGGCTTCTCCAGGTCTTACAGAGTTCTGCAGAGGCAGAGTCCCTAATGCTGACCAGCCAGGGTATGCAGGAGCGGTGTAACCTGGACTGGGCTATGGGACAGGACCTGGTGTGTCTCCGGGATGATGGGGCCGCTCTGCTGTGGCTGCCATGTGTGCACCGTGCCCAGGGGCTGCTGCTGCTCTCACTGCTGCCCCACCCGTGTCCCCACAGCTCCTGGCCAGGCTCCTGAGGAGCCGCCACCCCGAGGACCTGCGGGCCGCCAACCGCCTGATCCAGAGCGCCGTCAAGGAGGTGGGAGCTCCCCGAGGGGCCTCTCTACAACCTGGGAGCCTGGGAGGGACCCTGGCCATTCATTGGACAGGAAACCGCTGTCCTGCAGCCCCAGAGAAGGGACCATGTTCAGGCCTTCCAAATTATTCTGAGGTTACAGCATGGGATCGTTTTGGTTTGTTTCCCTAAAATGTGCCATTGCCAGGAGAGGGAATTTGTGAATGTGCATAGAACAGGGCACTTCCCTGTCAGTGGGACCTTGGCAGCAGTACAGCAGTAGTGGTTGGAAATTTCCAAAAATAAACTCAGTTCCCAGATGGAAAGAAGTCACTGCTGTACAGAACTGCCTCTTTCCTGCATGCAGTGTGTGTGCATGTCTGGCCTGTTTACATGTTCCATCTGAAGGAGCATCCCACTTCTCTGCTCACAGAGGAGGTTTGGTTTAACAAAGCCCCGTGGTTGTTCTGAGTGTGTCGTTCTGTGTGGCAGAAGCCACCAACTCCCAGCTCAAATTCTGAAGCCACACTCGTGCCTGTGGGGAGATGTATTCCATATTCCACAGCACACAGCCAGGGTGCCCTGATGGGGCAGCTGGGGGGTTGTTCTCACCTGTGCTGCTTTGTGCCTTCTCTACCTGCAATAAAATATTAATAGGTGTGACCCTGAGTGCTCCAGACAAGTCACAATCTACCTTTTTTTTCATTTTTCGTCACAGGAACAAGAAAAGTCAGCTCAGGTGTCCCGAAGAGTGAACACCATCAATGAGGTTTCTGAGAATGTCAAACGTATGGATGAGTTCCTGGAGAGCTACAGGAGAGGTGAATTATCCCCAGCTGACCAGGAGAGCCTGCAGGTGAATGCTCCTTTTCCTCCCTCTCCTAGAGGGAGCATCCCTTGCAGGGGGTGGCACAGACAGAGGTGTGGGGTGTGGGTGCTCAGCAGTGCCATGTCTCCCCCAGGCTCTGCTCCAGCGCTGCGAGAGGCTCCGGCCGCTGCTCTTCCGCCTGGCCAGCGAGGCAGTGCCTGACGAGGAGGCTCTGGGTAAGAGCCAGCACTGTCCTTGTGCTCCTTGGCGCTGGCACAGGGCTGTGCCCTGCCCTGGGAGGGGAATGCTGGCTGCTTGGAACCCTGTGGGCAAAGCTCCCCACTCTCACCGTGAAACCATGCCCAGGGAAGTGCCATGTGGTCTCCTCCTGCTCATCTCTGAGGAAGCTGTTAATTTTTACTTGGAGCCCAGGGTTAAACAGGGAATCTGATTCTTCAGATGAGGTGGTTTTCTGAGGTTTTTTTGAGTTCTGATGTTCAGAGAACTGAAAAGAAAGTGCAGAAGAGATGGCAGGAATTAGAAATGCTTTAGAGATGGGATAATATTTCAAAGGGATATGGATAAATGAGAGAGAGGCCTGGAATCAGCAGCTGTGTGTGCAAAACTGAATGAAAGGTGAGTGAGGAGCTGAGGGCAGCCTGCTCTGCTGGCCCTTGCTCCTGAGCTGCACTGTCCCTTCCTCAGGAGCATTTTGGGGGTGCTGTGGAACTGACCTGACCCTTCCCTGGAAGATGAGTATTTTGTGTCTGCTCTGGTTTCCCAGCTGAGGTCCTGCAGGCCAATGACAAGCTCTCATGGGCTCTGGGGCAGTACAGGCAGGTTGTGGCCAGCCAGGAGGACGGGGATGGAGCAGGTTCAGCTGCCAGCTCTGCCCGTGCACCAGGTGAGAAGCCTCCACAGCAGCTCTGCCCTGCATGCCAGGTGGGAGCAGGGGTTGGGAGGGAAGTGCTCCTCAGAGAACAAACCTGGACAAAGTGCTGTAACACATGAAAAATATTCTGTAACCATCATTTTCTTTTGCCTGTAGTTGACAGAAAATACTCCCCAAGCTCTTCAGCTTTGGGGCACAGCTGTGCCATGGCTGTGCCGTCCCTCCCCGGGCTCCTGGCTAACTGTGCCTGTGTTCCCCAGCGTGCCCAGCAGCCCCGCGGCGCACGAGGAGCTACACCCTGATCGACTTCTCCGAGCTGGAGGCCACGGCCCTGACCCCCCCTGAGCCCCCTGCAGACACAGGCTCAGCCCCCCGACACGGCAGCACCACCTCCAGCTGCCTGCTCGAGGAGCAGCTGCACTCCTTAGGTCTGTAGGTGCACTTCAGTGCCACCCTCCTTACTGGGGTTTGTGCCCTTAGGTCAAGAGGGGACAGCTTTGGCTTCAGAGTCAGTCCCAAGAGAAAGTGGAGCCTTCCAGATGGAAGTTTTCAGGGCTGCAGTGTCTCCTTTAGACAGCAAAGGAAGCACCTGTGGAAAGCCCTGTTTTCTGTAAATTTTCTGTGGCATTTGGTGTCTTTCTTAGGTCTCAGCAACTCCCCTGTCACACAGGAACCACCCCCTGATTTTGGCCTAGCAGAGGTGAGTGATGCTCAGATACTCTGCTGTCCATAAGGTATAAAGGACAAAAATCAGAGATGATTCCTGCTCTGCCTTTCCCTGGCAGCCCTTCCGGTGTAGCACTCTATTCTGAAGGGAAACTGGAATCCTTGTGCTCTCACTCAGTCTCTCAGGTGCAGTTTGTAACACAATGACTCATATATATTTCTGCTTTAGGTAGTGGTATTTGATAAACAGTTATTTTCAGTGCAACAGGTTTATTGTTGCTGATATTATACAGCATGAACCTGAAGAGCCTTATTTTCCAGCCTGCTGTACACAATGGCTTTGGGGAAGGTGTAAGTGCTGTTCAAAGCCTGGCACCACAGCAGGGCTGGGAAGACAGCTGTGCAGGGAAGAGTGAATTCCAGAGCCTGGAGGAACAGCTCTCTCCACCATCCAGGACCAAGGCATTCTCTTTGTAAGTAAACTCTTCATAATAGAGTCAGATTTTGGGGCTGAGGATTTCTTTTACAGCAGGGAGATTTAGGAAAACCTTTCAGCTACCTCTGGTTAGTGATGGCAGGTGATCCATGCACATATTGGCTCTTTCCTGCAGTTATGCACTGGTTAATTGCAGTTAATTGCACACCAGGACCTTCCAAGGGTCAGAAATTTGGGGAGACAAATCCCATTGGTTGATAACAAGGTGATGTTCAGCTAAAAGAACAAAAACTTTATGGTCAGGTCTTTTTATAAAAACCTGTCACTCAAAAAGCACTTTCCTCAGCCTTTTCCAGACTGTGACAAGGGAGTTTCCAGACAGTCAGTGGAAGCTTGGAACCATTCACAAATCAAATTAATCTCCACACATCTTCAGAGCAGGAGACTATTACAGTATGCTTATACAGTCTGCCATATTACAAGAAACTTTACTGAAGATTTTCAGCTTCCCGTGATGTCTTTGAGCAGGAATTTACTTTGATCTGCCTGACTAGGGCTCCAGAGAAGCTGTGCTCAGGGATGGCAGACTTCCAAAGCCCTAAACCTAAGTTTTACTGTAGTAACAGAACCAAAATCTGCCTTAATGAATTTTGAAACAGCAAGATCTTCCATAGATGATAGTGTTTTTGAATTCCTCAAGGACTCAGAGTGTAAGTCTGTAGTTTCTTTATACCTAAAGGGGATGAGGGATTGAGAATAGAGACAGACACAGCAGAAGACAGTACATTCCCTGTAGTATCCCCACTTAATACAAGCTTTCTGCATGCTTTTCTTTCCAGGGATTTATCACCAATGAAATTGCCCTTTCCACATCTTTCAAATAACTCAGTGGCAGATCCTCCATTCAGCCCAGGCTATGATCTGAAGCCTGCTGCCTCTGTGCACCCAGCTTCCAGTGATGCTTCTCTAGAAAACCTTTTTGTGCCTTTAATTTCAGTTACTCCAAGTAAGTGCAATTCTGTGCCCCAGCTCTGCTTACAAGAGCTCTTCCATGAGTTTTGCAGGACAGGAAGCCAAAGTAGCTTCATGCTGTGTGGGTTGCTGGAGACCAGAAATGATTGTTCTGTGATGGGCTTAATGTACCTGAGAATTTGATCAGGTGCTAGGGATCATAGCATGAGAATGTCCTTGTCCTCCCTACTCATTGCTCAGGAGTTATCTGCCCTGGCTGATCTTTGTTATGTGCTTCTAAACCCTCTCCTCCACACCTTCAGTCAAGCTTTGAACAGTTGTTCCACTAAAAGTCCTAAAACACACTTTTGAGTGGGAGTTGCCCCACTTCCTAAAGCAGGAAGCTCTTCATTCCACCTCTGCTTTTTGGTTTCACACTGTATGGCCCAGCTCTGCAGCTCAACCCAGAGCATTTCCTGGGAATGTCACCCTGGGCTCTCAGCCCGGGGCCACAGAGCCTTGGCTCTCACTGCTGCTGGAAGAGGACAGGTGCACAGACATCCTGATCTGCCTTCAGTCTCAAGTGAAGCCCTTAGCAGATTTTGGAAGGGCAGGATGGTGATAGTCAGGTGTGAAGTGCATGGTAAGGAGCCCAGTCTTGTGTGCACTCAGAAATGCACTTTACTTTTCCCACCATATCTCTGTTGGATTCACACCTGACTTCTCTCAGGGACTGGTGAAGCCTGAGCTGCTAAATCCCAAAGGCAGAGATTCTGATTCCTGTCTCTGCCTTGGACGCAGATGTAAATCAGGGGCTGTGTGCCACTTGGTCTGTGAGTTTGCCAAAGGAAGTAAAAGTTTGTCTGCATTTTCCTTTTTGCTATTCCTTATCCCATCTTTCCTGTTCGCCCTCAAATGGGAGAGGAATCCAGGCTTTGATTCTGGTTCTCAATTTGTCTCTGGCAGGCACCATCTCTCCACTCACTGTGTATGACAGGAATGGTTTCAAGGTCATGCTCCACTTCTCCAGAGACCCAGCTCCTGGGCACCCAGACGTGCTGGTGATGGTTCTGTCCATGCTGAGCACCTCAGCACACCCCATTAAGGACATAGTGTTCCAGGCTGCAGTCCCAAAGGTGAGAAACCTGGGACAAAGTAGCAGAGAGGCTCAGAAATGTCCTGAGAGGAAGGTTCACCATTTCTTGCTGAGCATTTGCCTTGCTCATGGGAAATTGTGTGGCTCCCGGGCTCTGCACGGAGGTCCTATTGTACAGTGGTGCCTGTTTCACTGTGTGTGTCCATGGGCAGAACTGGCTGTTTGGGAATATCTGCCTTTAGTTGCAGGCTGTGCTTTTCACTGAATGAAGAGTCTAGCTGATGTATCTTTGACCAGCCCCATGGCTCAGTGAGGCTCACAGCCCTTCCCCAGCATGGACTAAAAAGCGTTTCTTTTGTTTTCTCTTTCAGACCATGCAGATAAAGTTACAACCAGCCTCTGGTTCTGAGCTGCCAGCCTTCAGCCCTCTCCTCGCGCCCGCAGTGCTGTCCCAGGTGCTGCTGCTCTCCAACCCACACAAGGTGCTGCTGCTGGGCACTGGGCACCCCCTGGCTGTGTGTGTGAAAAATGGGGACACTCCTAATCATGGGGAGGTGTAGTGGAGAGACAGAGCAGCCTGGACTGTGCTGGGAAGATGATTTTTTGCTCAAAGAGCTTTCCAGAGCTACAGTCTGAAGGACTGTGTGGGCAGTTGCTGCAGGGACCTGCACAGTTCTGGAGCATCTGAACACAGACACAGCTGCAGGCACTCATGGTGCAGGTGTTGGCAGCTGATGGAACACAGGGACACCCAAGGCACAAGTGCTGGGTGGCAGATCTTTTGCACTGGTGGATAGTTATGAGAACCAAGATCAGTGTAAGGAACTCTGTCTCTGAGTAGGCTGGCCAGGCCTGGATTGCCAACATGCCCATGGCTGGAATGCACAGTTATGTTACTCTTCCAGTTACTCTTGTCTATCTTAGGGTTACCTGTCCAGGTTAGGATAGGTATATCCTTAGGTTAACCTATCCAGGGTCTCCTTCTGTGCAGAGCTTCTGCAAGGCTGGTGTTTCCCCTGTCAGAGGTGGCTCACTGCAGCGAGGCCACGAGGGGTGAAGGCGTCTGGGAGTTTATAATCATGGTGTGCCCCTCTCCTCCCTTCTCTCGCAGGATCCCCTCCGCCTGAGGTACAGGCTGGCGTTCACGCAGGGCCTGCAGCCCGTCTGCGAGGTGGGAGAGGTGACTGGCTTCCCCGAAGCAGAGCTCTGGGGCAGGAGCTGAAGTTCAGCTGGCTTGGACACTGCCGTGTGGCCTTAGCCCAGACGGAGAGTGACTGGGGAGCAGCAATGCCCCGTGAGGGCACGTTTTGGGGATCTGCCGCTCCTTCCTGCTCGTTGTGCCCGCAGGAGGAGGAGGAGTGTGGGCTGGCGGCTTCTGCCGCAGCCGGTCGCTGTAGCTGAGCCTGCTCCACAGGAGCCTGCTGGAGAGCGCCTCTGTGCTCCTGCCACGCACACCTTCCTGCTGCTTCTGGGCCACCTCCCCTTTACTTGTGAATTAAAAAACAAACACAGTGAATCACACCAGCATGCAGCCCCCGTGCCAGCCTGTTCCAGGGACACAGGGACACCCCGGCCCGGGTTCCCCGGAGCCGGGGGCGGTGGGCCCGGTACCGGCAGCGCTGCGAGGGAGCAGAGCCGGGCACAGGGCCGGGGGACGCGGCTGGGCCCTGCCGGGGCCGCCGGAGCGATCGGCCTGGGCACGGCCAGCGGGGCTGGGCTCGCGGCCGGACACAGCCCCGGGCCCGCCCTGAGCACCGCCCTGAGCACCGCCCCAGGACCGCCCCAGGACCGCCCCGCGTTTCCGGGTGCGCGGCGGGGCCGGGCCGGAGCCGCCGGGGCTGTCCCCGGCTGTCCCCCCGGTGTCCCCGGCTGTCCCCGCGGTGTCCCGGCTGTCCCCCGGTGCCCCGCGATGGATTTCTCGCGGTTCCTGTCGGACGAGTTCGAGGTGAAGGGCTGGGTGAACGCGGCGTTCCGCGCCGTGCAGCAGGAGGCCCCGGGCAAGGTGGACGCGCACGCCGCCACGCTGGTGATGAAGCTGCAGCTCTTCATCCAGGAGGTCAACAACGCCGTGGAAGGTGCGGGCAGGGCTCGGGCTGGGCTCGGCGGGCCCCGTTCCGCTCCTGCGGGTCCCCACCCCTGCATCCTCCCGGGGCACTCGGGCAGAGCTGTGCCGGCCGCCGCAGGCCGCGGTGGCGATCCCGGCCTCGCCCGGACCGGGGATCCTCGCACCCGTCTCGGGTCTCGCAGCTGTTCACCAACACATCTGCGTTAAATGCTGGGAAACGGCAGCTGCTGCCAGCGCTGCGTTAGATGGGATAACAGCGTAAATGTCTTCTCCAAAAGGGTTGCCCAGCCCTGGCACTGGCTGCCCAGGGCAGTGTTGGAGTCCCTGGAAGGTTAAAAAGCCGTGTGCATGTGGCACCTGGGGACATGAGTTAGTGGTGGTCTTGGCAGTGCTGAGGCAACGGGACTGGACTATTGGGAACAGTTGGACTTGATGGTCTCAGAGGGCTTTTTTAAACCCAAATGATGCCATGATAAAATACATATTTCAAGTTTAAAGATACAGCTGGAGATTTGTTGTTTGATGTTTTGCTTTGTTTTTTAGCATTAGGTTTTTTCAAGTGCTAAAGATTAGATAAGATTATTGAAAAACTACCTGTTCCTGCAAGGGCTGCCACCCCTCCACACTGGCTGCTCTGTGTTCCTGCAGAAACAAGCCATCAGGCTCTCCAGAACATGCCCAGAGTCCTCCGGGAAGTGGAAGTCTTGAAACAGGAGGCAACGTTCCTGAAGGAGCAGATGATCCTTGTTAAAGAGGATATAAAGAAGTTTGAAGAGGACACAGCTCAGTCCATGCAGGTCAGTTCTTAGTGCTTGTCTGCAGCTTGTGACATTCTAAAAGTTACAGAGTTGCTCATGTGAAATAATCTTGTGAACTTCAATTGGCAAAATCACTTCTTTGAACATCAGTAATGGTGAGGTGGGTGTGACACAGAGCTGTGCAGTCTGCATGTCCTGAGGAATAGCTGCTCAGGTGTCTGTTCAGAGCTGCTGGTACCTGCCTGGGGACTCTGGTTTCTGCCTGGGGTGCAGAGAATTTTCAGGCCAAATGGATACTAAAAGAACAAGACCAGAATTCAAACTCACCTGTTATTTGACTTTGAAAGATGATTTTCCGTCTCTCTAGCTCCTTCAAACCATTCCATCTTCTTGTAGTAATATAATCTTTTCACACCTTTTTGTTTTTAAAATTTAAGCAGAAGATAACTCCCAAGCACCTGAGAGCCATTTTTTTATCCAGGGGGAACATGGTGTTGTTTTTTCCTCAGGTGCTGGTAGAGATTGACCGGGTGAAGTCCAGGATGCAGCTGGCTGCCGAGTCGCTTCAGGAAGCAGACAAATGGAGCACACTAAGTGCAGATATTGAAGAGACTCTTAAAACACAGGTAAACACTGAATTATTTGGTATTTGTGCCTCCAGCTTTTCAGGGAGCTGTGTTTAGCAGTCTGGTTTTGAGGCGGCTGTGAAGCATGTCCTTGGTGCTGATGCTGTTGGAGGTTGCCCTTGGTAACAGGCTGCCTTTCCTGCTGGCAGGACGTGTCCCTGATCTCAGCCAAGCTGACGAGCATGCAGAGCAGCCTGGCCATGCTGGTGGACACGCCGGATTACTCGGAGAAGTGTGTGCACCTGGAGGCGCTGAAGAACCGCCTGGAGGCCATGGCCAGCCCCCAGATTGTGGCTGCTTTTAACTCCCAGTCTGTAGGTCAGTAGCTCCTGCTGGCATTTACTCTCAGCACTGAGATTGTTGTCTTTAAAACAGTTTGGCTGGAGAGTTGGTGTCCTGAAGGCTCCTGGCACTGGCTCCTGAGCTTCTCCTGGTGGAGCAGGTGCCCTGGAATGTTTTGGGCTCTGCAGCTGCCTGCAGGCCAGTGCTGCTTTGATTTTCCTGTGGTTTGGGGTACCTGTGGCCACTGCAGGAAACAAGAAGGTTACAGGATTTTATGGGCCACGTGGATGTACTGCTCAAATAAGCAGAAGGGCCTTGGCTTTCTGTTGTCATGGTGTTATTGGTGTAATCAGGAAGGAAATTTGTTTGGAAGCGTTCTGACTTCCTACTACTTTGTAAAAGCAGCTTTGCAAATTCTCCTTAGAAAATTGGTCTTTTTGGAGACTTCTTTGTGCTGTTCTTTCAGTGCTGCTGTCAGTGCTTCTGAAAAGTCGTTCTGGTTGTTGACACTCATCTCTGTGCACCTCAAGGTCCTGCAGGGATCTGGGGCTATGGGGTACAAACCAGACTCTTGAGGAACCTGTGTTTCTAAGCTGTGTGCAGGAGCAGCTGTGCCATGAGTCAGTCTGAGGCACAGGTGTCATTTTGAGGACAGGTGAAAGCAAAGCTGAGGCCTTTGTCAGGTATGCTGTAGGTTTGTAAGTGCTGGCTTGTTTTTATAAGATAATTATTTCCTTCTAGGAAATGATCTGGCTTTAATATTGGATGTGTTAGCACAATGTGCTGGTTAGGAAGTTAAATTCATTCCTTGTCTGCTGTCTGATCTTTTTTGAGGGTGGGTTTCAGGCAGTTCTGCTCCTGTTTGAGAAGATAAGCAAATGTAGATTGTCTCTTTCTGTGTAGACCATTGTGCCTGCTCCCTTAGAAGAGGAGTTCTTGCTCAGACTGATGTCTCACCCTCAGCTTTGAAGCTGATCCTGATGCCTGTTACTTTGTTTTGTTTAGATCAGGCAAAAATGTTTGTTAAAGTCTTCACTGAAATCGACCGGATGCCCCAGCTCCTTGCTTATTATTACAAGTGTCACAAGGTAAGTGTTCTGGGAACACTTTAACGTGGGGGAATAGCAGTGACTTCTTGCTGGGCTCTGACTGCAGAGGGAGCTGCTGCCCCACGGATCTCGGCTGTGCTGTGCTGGGGATGGCACCTGTTCTCTCTGAATTTCCTTCTGTGCCTTCTCTTGCTGGCTCTGACCAGCCTGGGTTACTCCCCGTGTTGCAGGAGTAATTCTCCATTCGGGGCCTTGTCCCTTCCTGCAGCACACACAGGCTGTGTGTGTTCTGCTTGATTTCTCTGGGCCTCATGGTTTTGCTTTGCTTTGCTGTGGATGTGGCCATGTCAGCAGTAACTTTATTACTGCAACTTGCCAGCTGCTGACTTCTGTAAACTCTTTTCAGGTAAGATTAAAAGTTGGAATTCCAGACAGTTCTGTAGCCATAACCTGAGCTTCAAATTTCTCACATGACTGTGACTTTTGAGGATTAAGTTCAAGGCTGGGGCTTGCCAAGTATTTCAACTATTATGTGGGGGTATCAGTTGCAATCTCATTTTATGAGTAAAATACCAATGTTAATTAAATCTTTGAATCACTAAGAAGCTGAAAGTCTTTTCCTGCTGTGGTGCTGAATTATATGTTATACTGAAAGGGGAGAGGGGCACAAGGGGGAGCCTCATGTTTTGGCAGAAGTGCTGTGCATGGGGAGTGCTGGGTTGGGCATAACAAAAGCAGGACCTGTGGCCTGTCAGTTTTCTTCTCAAGTGGTTCTGTTCCCCATCAGGTGCAGCTGGTGGCCGTGTGGCAGGAGCTTTGCCAGAGTGACTTGAGCTTGGATCGCCAGCTGACCGAGCTGTACGACACCCTCCTGGGCACCTGGCACACCCAGCTCCAGTGGGCAGCACAGGTGCAGTGCCAGGCTCTGCTGCGGGGGGGGACAGGGCTGGGCACCCTCTGCATTCCCACACAGCCTTGAGGAGCTCCTGGCTGCTCACCCTGAGTTGCACTCTGGGCCTCCTGCTGCAGATTGGGATTTGCAGCCCTCTTACTGCTCCTGGTCCACCCTTGCAGACAGGATTTGAGCTCTGCTGTTCCACCAGCAGCAAGGTTGCCGTGTTATTGACATTAAAGCTGCTCTATCACTTTCATCTGTATCTTAAGTTAAAACTAATTTGTTGGTGTTGTAAATGTCTTCTGTTGCAAGACATTTGAAATGCCTGAATTGCTTTATCACTTGGCCTGGAGGAAGCCCTCAAGGTCACGCTGGACTGATGCATGTTGCTCTGTCTAAGATATCTGGGGGCTTCTGCTGTCACCCCTTGGAGTCTGTGTGCTTGTTTTCCCTGCCAAGAATAATGTAGGATCAAAAAAAGTTTTTGTCCTTTGGTGAAATGAAGAAATAAGTTCATATTGTTGAAGAGTTTTTCATCCATGAAGGGTAAGAGATTCTTATCTTCATGTGACAAAGCCAGTGTCAGTGCAAGGCCTGTGCTGCAGAGGAGCTCAGTGTTTCCTTAAATGTATTTTTTCTGCCTAATGATTCGATGTGACTTACAGGTCAGATGTCAGGTTACATTTTAGCAGATACTCTTTGAACTGGGGATTGTGAGAAATGGGGCACAGCTCATGTCACTCAATCTCCTGTGTTGCTTCTGCTTTCTGAAAAACTCTGGGACCTTTCTGGTGGTAAACCCAGCTTTCAAAGCAAATGAGCAGAATAGCTGATGAAAAAGTCACAATGATGGCTG